TCCAGGAATTACAGCCGTATGTTAAAACTGGATGTATGTAGCAAGCAAGAATTCTTTTTCCAACCTTCAATGATAAAGACATATTGCATAAGATGTTCTTCATTTTATAAAATGCAGTTTTTGCCTGTCCTATGCTTTTTCTTATTTCAGTAGTGCATCTTCCATCTGAGGTTATTCACGTACCCAAATACTTAAATTTCTGTATTTGTCCCAAAATAAAACCATTGACTTTTATTAAACATTTAGGAATAATCATTTTCTTTAAAATCACTATTAATTCTGTCTTCCAACTATTGAAACTAAGTCCCATTCTTCCATTTTCGTGCATAAAACAGATCTAAAAAAAAAAAAAAAAAAGCATCCATAATGTCAAAAGTACGCTGAAATTTTACTTCACAAAATGTAGTACAGAATAGGAAACATTTAAAAACATTTCATGTTTTGCATCCTTCATTTCAATCAGTCAGTCTGTGGTAACTAATACTTAGGAATGAAAGTATTCTTAGTTTTATAACAAGTAACTAAACTTGTAAATTGTCACTGACAGCTTAGTTAATCCATTAAAGCGGCATTAGCTTTCAAAAACGTTCCATGTTGTCAGCATTGAGGCAGCTTCTTGTCTCACTGAAGGTATTTCCAGCTGTACTAAACAGACGTTCACTTGGTACGCTCTTAGGTGGTACACAAAGATAACGCTTGACAGTATGAACCAAGGTGGGAAATCTTTATATGTTTATTTTCACCAGTCCAGAAACTGGTGTAAGGTAACGACTATTCGTATTCGGCCCGACCGCAACTATTCGGCTGAATATCGAGTATTTATTAGGTCCACTATTTGGCCCCGAAGCGAATATTCGGTACAGCCCTATTATGTATCGACCCAACACTCTTATATCTAGCGCATACACTTGCGGTTCACTTGTAAATACAAAATTGTTTTTGAATGGTTGCACGTCATTTTTTTGGAACATAACCGTTTACATACGGTTACTTGCTATAAACATGGCTAAAGCAACCAAGGTAGCACATCGGCTAGTAAGTTTGGTTTGACGTAGGGTCAAATCCAGATCAAGGGGTTTTTTAAAAACAAATTTTAATGACCTAGGTTCCCAGACCGACAAAGCGTTAAACAAAATGCGTGCTATGAATTCTGGTAAATAAATGATATTGATCACATCGCATGTCGAGTACTGATTGGTCGATGCAAACGTGAAATTAGCTCAGCTAGCCCAAAGGCATGGAAACATGTTCTTTACTTGTTATTGTATTTAAACATGATTTCTTTTCATTATGTTCGATTCTGAACATACGTAAGCGGTTAGGAGTTTTAGCACGTTCGTATGCTCAATAAACTGGCGCGTAACCTTTTGTCCCAGATCGTACACTTGTGTCAAGAAAGGCACAGAGCGGTGTAGTATCATAAATCGAACGTCAATCAATGAGATGCTTGTTATACCATGCAGGTTGGCTGCAGGTAATCTGCAATACTGTCTTCCTGCCTGTTTGCTTGCAGGCCTGCCTTTTTATTCATTTATCGCTCTCCATACTTTTTTCTTTAACCTGTCTACCTAAATAAATATTCCTTCCTACTTTCGTTAGTGATACTACACGTGAACCACCTATATGCTTATTTTTTTTTTCCTTAATACGGTTTTATATATGCATGTATGTATAAAACACTGACTTTTTAAAAAGAATCAGCTCAGAAAATGGGACTAGTTATCAATCAAGATAAGACAGAATACATGAAAATAACTAGACAGGGAACTGATATAAACTCCGTCCACATACAAGTCGATAATATGACAATCAAACGAACGGAAACATAAGTACTTGGGTGCAGACTTCAACTGCTTCAAGTATACTATGCCCTTCAACATCTGATTATTATAGGTTTTCGAAAACAAGAGTCTTACGGCGAACCTTTGGACCCATCAAAGATACAAACAGCGGGGAATGGAGAATGAGAAACAATAGCGAAATTCATAATCTTTAAATCACCACAGATCACTGGCATCATGAGAGCTAATTAACTAAAATGGTTTGGGCACATTGAAAGATTGTCAGATGACAGAGAAGTGAAAACTCTATACACAAGTGAGATGAATGGTCGTAGATCAGGAAGAAGATGGAGAGATAATGTTCAGAAAGACCTGCAAACACTTGGTGTCACCTACTGGAAAGAGAATGCCAATCAGAGAGATGAATGGAGGAGGGTGATATATGCAGCAATGAACTTCAATGTGAACATACATACATACATATATATATATATATACATATATATATATATATATATATATATATATATATATATATATATATATATATATATATATATATATATATGTGTGTGTGTGTGTGTGTGTGTGTGTGTGCGTGCGTGTGTACGTGTGCGTACATAAAACACACGCACACTTACGCAGACAGGCAGGCACACACACACACACTTACGCAGACAGGCAGGCACACACACACACTCACACACACTCACACTCACTCACACACACACTCACACACACACACTCACACACACGCACACACACACACACACACACTCCCCCTCCCTGCACGACACCTGGTCTCTAACCCTGTACTGGGCAAAGATAAATATCTCGAAAGGCAATGTGAAGCACGTACTGAACGCTGGAATCCAAAAAAAAAAAAAAACAAGTAACGGTTGGCCACCTGCATACCAGACGATTGCACAGACCATCTCCGAATGGTCATTCTGACATAATCCAGTGCTCATAACTATAACACCGCTTTGGTGTAGGTTGGAAAAAAAAAAAGGGGGGGGGGGGGTTATATGCCATATTGATTATTCTTTTGATGTAGTTTATATTATTTGTGCAATGTTTTTGCTGTCTACAGTTGTACTCATATATAAGTATGTCCAATGGTATCTCTTTTACAGTAACGTTGAATTCCGCTAGTCACGTTTATCTTGTTATTCCTGTCCTATTCATTTATGAACTCTTATTTACAGATAGTTATTTAGTCCAGTGTTTTTCAATCACGGTGTAGTGGTACCCCGCAGAAAAATATGCGAGGTGAGAATGGAGTTTAATGAGGTCTAAAATTTTGAAAAAGAACAAGTGCTTGCAAATGGGTTTGTTCAGTGAGCACGTTAATTACTCAAGTTCAAGAGGATGCCATTACATATGTCAGTCTGTTTAAGTCTGCTCTCTCTCTTTTGGCACCTTAGCGTCACGCACACGCACGCACGCACGCGCGCGCACACACAGACACGAGTTGTTTAGACCTGTCCGCAATGTCATTTGTTGATATGCTTTCCATGTTGATAATAAATCATGGTTCAATTCTTAGACAAATACCGATCTTTCACGCTTCAGTTTGGTTTTGTGGTCACATTGCTTCCAATGCTAAATTTCCACTTTAGATCAAGTTTACATTATAATACTTATCCTGATGTGAACCGCCGGGATGTAGCGACTAGACTGGCCAGTTGATCGTAGGTCGTGCGTTCAAATCCGGACGGTGCTGGACGTTTTCACCACCTCCAAAAATGACCTTGACTTCCAGGTCAGCTCAACCTAAACTTGGTACCAGGTAAAAGGGCTGGGAGGCACAGACGTCTGGCGGGATTCTGACCACATAAACAACCAAATGCAGATTAGTCTTTAAAGTATAGGTCTAGCCATATATGCCATTACGCCAAAAAGCATTTAATCATGATACTCTAGTATTTTTCAGCAACCTTCCCTCTCAATTACTATACTGCTTGTGTTTTCTTCCTTTGTAAAAAAAATTTAAACCACACTAAACTTAATAACAACGTCATTCCTCGTTGGCGCATGTTACTAGTTGGGTGACCATACTTATATTATTTCGTCAATGTGGTTCGTCTTTAGTACAATACCACCTGCAGAAAACTTGGCGTTCTTAGCAACAACACTGAGAACTGACTTGCCATTTGTACTGTGCCCTGAATGTCCGTTGAGAATTTTAACTGTTCAATTTAAACCCCTAGGATTTGTAAAAAGCAGCAGTGAGCTTTTGGGAGTGGCCGTGGCGGAGTTGCTAGACGCTTGCCTGCAAATCCGAAGGTCGTGGGTTTGCTCCCTGGAGGAGCCGGTTTCTCCCCCCCCCCCCGATTCAAAAATTCAAAAATGACCTTGACTCCCAGGTCGACCTAGTCTTGAGTGGGTACCGGGTGCATTACTGGGAAGTAAATGTGGTCGGCGTGGTGCTGACTCACATACGTTAATATATATTATTTTACATTTGTGCAGAAGTTGTCACCAGTTCAGAAAAGGACTATTTTCACGCCTTCTAAATTGTACGGGGCATATAGTGTTAGACCTATATTTGTTTAGACCAGACGGCACTCTATATGTGATGTGGTCAACATCACGCCGGTCACCTTTACTTCCCAGGACTCTACCTGCATTTTTACTGGTATCCATTTAAGGCTAGGTTGGCCTGGGATTAAAGGTCACTTGTGAAATCAAATCTCTCTCTCTCTCTCTCCCTCTCTCTCTCTCTCTCTCGTTATACCCCACTAGGACATCACACAAACAATGAACACCTGGTGACACAAAGTGCCACAATACAGATGAGGATCACCCCTGGAGAGGTTCAAAAAAACCCCTTTCAGCCGTTATGGCCATATTTATGCCACGGCTATATTTAGGGCCCCGGTAAGAAGCCAGGGTGGGGCTTCAAATCACGAAAAATTGTATCCCTCATGGGGACGACTAGAATTAACTCACAAATCTAGCTTATTTCAAATTTGGACCTACAACATTTGGATCCGCAGAGGACGTTGCAAACCATCATTTGATGGCTGGTTGTTTATGGATTAATACTAGCTTCCTGAAGAGCGACTCCCCATACTATTGTTGTAATAAAAACAAAACGGTCTGCTATCACATCGCTTGCAGCTGGAATCGAATTGTGTGTCTCGGAATTACAAAGAGCGTTTGTAACCCCTAAGCCACAGGCGCTGACTAGTTATCTCCCCTTATCTGGCGTTTTTAATAAACAGTTGATTGGGCATCACTCGCTTTTGCATTTGTTGCACCAAATTTGCCAAGAAATCGTTTAGCCAACAGCGCAAATGCTCTTTGGAAGTCCTTTCTGAAAATGCCGTAGATGAGGGGGTTGATTGCAGAGGAACAGTACTGGAATATGCTGGCAACTAGATTGATGTAGTCTGGCAGGACGTCGTTGATGAACACGACCTGTTGGTGAAAGCCAAGAGAAATCAAACAGGGCAGCATGTGGTAACATTTGTGGTTTGTTAGATCTTTAAACATCATGCCACTATATTTAAAAAAAATATAATTCTGCGACGTCCACACAATAAAGGTTTGCTCTTGATCTACTTTAAAGGTTATGTTTGGCTACATTGCCTTTTGGACTGCCTTGTGATGAGGCTCAATCTCTTGCACGGTGCAGCTCTCGTACCATTGTCCGAAAACCACATTTTTAACCGTACCAACAAACCCTCCTACTCGAGGATCAGGAAATTGTTAACCGCATTCACTAACATATAGATTAGTTGACTTGAGTTGATTTAAGAACCGTTATCACAGCAATCGGGGCTTTCCCTTAAGCGCTCCGTCCCCATCTTCAGAAGCCACGGCAGATTTCCAAAAGCAATAGTGCCAGTAGCATTCTGATTTTACATCCGTCTTGCCTTTCCTCTGAGCGTCGAGTTTTCGCCAGATCCTCTTTCCCCCCACCCTCTCTATCTCTCCCTCTCTCTCTCTCTCTCTCTCTCTCTCTCTCTCTCTCTCTCTCTCTCTCTCTCTCTCTCTCTCTCTCTCTCTCCCGCTGCATCACCAAACTGTGATGATCCATTTGCTCCTCCAAATTGTACACGTTCTCCCGCAAGGCCCTAACCACGTCTGCCATATCATGCATCAAAATTCCATTAAGCTTTTGCAGAGCCAACCAGTCTGTCCGCCTGTGAATTAACCCAGTATTTGATTATCACAGCAGAGATAGTTATTACTGTAATAATAGTTAGATATATGAATACAACAAGGAGTGACGTATGAGAGGAAGAGAACGAAACGAAGAGTTTATAATCCGTGTGCTACGAGAACAGTATCTACACCTTAAGACATTTGCTACGCGAGACGGAGTACCTATGAATATCCCCGGTGTGCAATGATGTCGACTGTCTTCTTCTTCTTCTTCTTCTTCTTCGTCACTTCCTCTTTTACCGCTGTGGGTGTCGAGCGGTATAAGAGGAAGTGAAGAAGAAGAAGACAGTCGACATCATTGCACACCGACTGTTAAATCAGTAAATTAGTAAATCAGTAAATATATGAACAAAGAAGACACAAACGATAGTTTGCACAACTTATTGACATATATTTCGCCATTTGCCATGAGCAAACTATAAAAGTAAACAGTGGAGCAAGTAATGGAATCTGAAATACACACACATACACAGAGTCAGCAAGAAGTTTCACAAAGAGCACAAGACTTTTGGTTAGTTAGTCAACACAGAAATGGCCTGATCAATCGATTACGGTTGCAAAAACTCTGAGGAGAAAATCGAAGCACCAATGATCGCCTGTCCAGAGTGCTGCATAGCTTACTAATCAAACTCAGCTTTTCCACCGTCTTATTTCCATGTGCCCTTAAATCCCATTCATTTCTCATCAGTCGCGTGTCTTTTTGTGGAGATTGGTTGTTTTGAACTCCGCTTTAGATCTCTGTCTGTCTGTCTGTCTGTCTGTCTGTCTGTCTGTCTGTCTGTCTGTCTCTCTCTCTCTCTCTCTGTCTCTCTCTTTCCCTTTCTTCCCCCCCCCTCGCTTTCTCTCTCTCTCTCTCTCTCTCTCTCTCTCTCTCTCTCTCTCTCTCTCTCTCTCTCTCTCTCTCTCTCTCTCTCTCAGTCTGTTCGTTCGTTCGTTTTCTCTCTCTACCCCGCATCCCGGCTATTTCCCTCTGTTTATTTTTACTTATTCACAATTATTTGCATTAACGTTGTTCTTTATGCTTTCTGTCGGCTCTGTGGCTAAGTCGATGCGAACGCTTTGCTTCGTAATGCCGGGATGCCAGGTTCGATCCCAGCTGCGGGCAAAGCGCCTTGCGTTGGTTTCGACAGTGGTATCAAGAAAGTCGACCGTCCAGGAACAATGGCAAACTACTAGATGTAAATTGCCTAGAGAAACCACACAACAGACAGGGGCTGTTAGGGTTGATTCTGCAACGTCCTTTAAAGGATACGCAACTAACTTTTTTTAATGCTATTTTTAAAAAGTAAATTGTGTAGTATCCTTTACAGGCTGTTGCAGAACTGACCCTATTATTTTGTTTTTTGGTTGTTGGGGTTTTTCTAGGTAAATTTACGTTCAGCGGTTTGCATTTCCCTTTCAGCACGGTCGCCTTTCGATACTAATGCAAGGCGGTCTTTTGTCAAATCGACTGCAGTTGAGAGCCGCAATCTCCTCACAAGGGCGCTGCGAAATATTTGAAAATACACGATTTTTTTTTTTACTTTCAAATTTCTTACATACGAATAGTCGTACTTTTACTTAGGTTAGTGCGCCGTAGAAAATTTTAATCGAAAAAAGGCGCGGCGATTAAGAAAAGTTTGTGAGTAAACGTATCGTTAGCCCGATTTGGTGACGTCAGCAGGTCTACCCATCATACGGAGTCGGTCTTGACATGACAGATTTAGAACTGGTAAATAAACAACTTACCTTGCAGAGTTTGGTAACACAGAATGGGGTCATGCAGATAAAGTAAGCGATCATAACAAGAAGCAAAGACTTGACTGCTTTGTTACTGGCTACTTGATTCTTCTTAGCACTGATACTGGTTATATTTTTGGCGGATCGAGAGAGTCGTCTTGTTAGGTTGTGGTTGTTATCCTCTGTAGAATTCAATCTCCGTCTGTCAGGTCCGCGACACAAGCTTACTGATGTCGAGTTTTCTGCATGAGGTTTTTCACTGGGTAGTTGCTTTTGGATCTCTGCAGTTTGTTTTGTTTGTTCTATGGTTGCCTGTATTTGTCTTTCCACAGTTTGTTTTATTAGTTGTGTATTTGACCCGTTGTGCCTATCCAGCGTTCCTTTATTTGTGTGTAAAGTCTGATCTTTAAAGGGGGTTGTTGAAAGAGCCGTAGCGATGATATTTTTACAAACTTCATTAGAGCTCGTTTGTTGCGAATGGGATGAACATGCGTTATCTGTTCTCAGGCTGAGTATTTCTTCGTCCCCATCGTTATCTGTACTGATTTTGTCTGGAAGTGTAATGCTAGCTGTCCTTTGTGAACAAAGATCCTTCCCATTCGTTAAAATCTCTTTCTCTGAATTGTCGATATTTTCATTAACATATAGTTTATTAAATAGATCCGATTTAAACTGTGTGGCCTGAATGACTGACCTTTGCTCAACCAGGATGTCAAGTGAATTGCAGTGATGTAATGGTTGAATACTCTCACATTTACTTCGTGCAGGCTGCATGCTTGTTGCTACGTCCGACTGCCAGCTACACGTAACTAGATGATGATATGTATCAGTTTCACAGGGTGAAGCACCATCTGGGTGTTTCAGCTGTCCATTCCACTGTACATTTGGTGACTCATTTTCAGTACTGATATACGTATCTGTTGGTTGATATAATACATTAGGTCGGGCCTCTTCATTTCCAGAAGCCAGAGTAGGAGAAAACGATACGATGTTGAGTTCCTCTGTGAGCTCTGCTATGTTTTCATTCTGTAGAGAACTGTTATCGCTGCTGTGTTTGTTTCTTCTATGCCCCTCCGTAGCTGTCTGAAGTACGAATATCGCTGCCAGCTCTTTCCGTGTTGCCGCACTCGCCTGAATCTCAGCATTCTGTTGGTGAACTTTATTGTGTGCCAACGCTATCTTCATTACCTGTAGAAAACAAACAAATAAACGTTAACTAATCTATTACATATGTATACGTGTTTGTCTTTCTGTTTCTCTACCTGTGCGCATTTTTGTTTGTCCAATTTCATCATAATCGAGTTTTGATTGCGTAATTAAAGTGAGTATGGCAGCATATACCGGATGCATCAATTGACTAAACAAGGTATTTTTAGGGTATCAGCCTTATGGTGTTTATGTTACTATTCTAGCCGAACAGTATGGTCTTATATAACATCAGTTTGTAAAAGAGCTAACGATTGTTTTGATGACAGTTTACGCAACCGCATGTTGACACTAGCCAGCATCAATGAAGTTATATCATTTTATACAGTAGTGATTGGTCGGTATTCACTCTCTCCAAAAATCACACTTATGTTATTGATCGAAATAAATAAACAATCACCATCTCTCTCTCTCTCTCTCTCTCTCTCTCTCTCTCTCTCTATATATATATATATATATATATATATATATATATATATATATAATATAAATATATATATCTGTCTCTCTCTCTCACACACACAGGCGCGCGCATTTGATACTTTTCCTTTGAGCATGTTGATTTCATAGGATCAATACCAAATCTGCTATCTTGCACTTCCGGTAAGGTTATAATTTTTGACAATATCCCTTTCTCCCCATTCCTATTTTGGACTAGATTACTTGGTAACCGGAAGAGTGATCTAGTCTAACTATCTCATATGGTCGAAGGGTGTGTCTTGGATTTCCTCCTGTTTGATTCTCATCCTTGACGTGTTAATCCTACGAGCAGCAATCCTGGAGTGGAACATTTACGTACCTAACATTTTAATATATATATATATATATATATATATATATATATATATATATATATATATATATATATATATATATATGCTAATCTGACTGTAAAAACTGGAGAGGAATTACTTATTTTTAAAAAAATGCCAAAGACTTTAAAAAAATAATTATCAATAAAATTAAAGGGGAAATAGACACAATTCTGAGAGAAGAACAAGCAGGTTTTCGACCTAGTAGGTAGGTAGGTAGGTAGGTAGGTGGGTAGATAAGTGGGTAGGTAGGTAGGTGGGTAGATAGGTGGGTAGGTAGGTAGGTGGGTGGGTACTTTGCTGAGACACAAATCGTCAGTTCAGCCAGCATCCCCGAATATGGAGCTATAGGTTATAATTGTGACTAGGTTATGGGCGTTATATAAAATGGCTTAGCATTGCCCTGGAAAGGACTTCTGCAGTGTTGGTGCGATCAAAGGAGACGACCCAAATACTATCCCGACCGGCGACGAAATCGTCTACCGGTGAGCCGATGTTTCGACCTGGAAGCAGCTGCTTAGATCAAATATTCATCCTGCGACTTATTTGAGAGGAATTTTTTGAAAAACAGCAACCCATTATTTTGAATTTCAGCGACTTTAAGAAGGCTTTATGATAGATTACAAGGAACATCACTATGGGAGAGTTTGGGATGCTTTGACCTTATAGCAGTGAAAATAATAAATATTATTAAGGCAAAATATGAAGATTCAGAGTGTACAGTCGAACAGATAATGATGCAGGTGATTTGTTTGAATTAAATACTAGACTGAAACACGAATGCGTTATATCGCCTCAGTTGGTTGGCATAACCAGTGACTGGGTGGGTGATGGGAACAAAATATGCTTTTTTTTTGGGGGGGGGGGGGATACTGGCATTGACTGGGTGGAGAACACACAGATGGAAGATCTTGGCTTTGCCGATGATCTTGTTCTGCGAGGTAAAAACAACTGTAAACTGTTGAAAAAACAGCATCTTGTCCCGGAAGTTAAAGTGTATTGACCATATCAAACGCTACGGCAGATTTGAAACAAAAAAATTATAGCAGAAGGCATGGTACCAGAAAATAGGAGCAGTAACACGAAGATGAGCACCGGGTGTGTGTGACTCTTTAGATATGAAAGTGCACGAGGCGGGAGAGCTGGCGAGAAACCTAAATTCTTTCAGGAAGTCCGCGATGAGCGCGACGTTCTGCAAAGGACCTGCTGCATGATGGTGAGTCAAACATGTTGACAGTACAGGGAACACCAAAAAAAAAAAAGCACCGATAAGGCATCAGCAAAGTTCAAAAGCCTGAAAAAACTACGGAATTTAAATTGTATAGTTTTGAAACCACGTTAGAGGTCAGATAAGAGATCAAAGGTGCTGGACGATTCCATCCACGATATTAAGTTGATTGTACAGGATAGGACGGAATGGGGGAATAGATTCCCGAGCCCTATGTGACACACATAATGGCATAACGGGACAATGATGAAAGCTGATGATTGTTTTGTAATACTAGTCATTTTGCAGCTATTTTATAATACCCACTTTTTACTACATATACTTTAACCTTTAGTTATTTTTTTTTTTAAATTTCCACTTACTTCGACTGTCAAAATCTAGTTAATTCTTACTGTCACCGGTAATGTATCGCCTTAGAATTTCCACTCATGTCTATATATTTTAGTTCAAAGTACTTTCAATGACATAAAATGCCATCTTGTTCGGTACTTGAACTAAACTTGAATTTTTTTGTGTAATTCCAGTTCTATTACCCAAGTTCATAGTACTAAAATTTCTGTATCTGCTGATTAGTCTGATCACTTGCTCTCATGTGCCGATTAATTTCAGACACGATCTGTTTTCTTCGTCTGGTTTAAGTGTCGCAGTCCTTCTAGAAGTAGTCTTGATCTGTTTGTTTCAATTGTTGACTCAGACAACAGAAAAACCCACAATACCCGGTAAATGCTGGGGTTGGTTCTTCAACAATATGTATTTTTTAAAAGCTGTTTACATTGGTGGTCGGCTCTGTGGCTAAGTCGATGCGAACGCTTCGTAATGCCGGTGTACCGGGTGCGATCCCAGCTGCGGGCCATGCGCCTTGCGTTGGGTTCGACAGTGGTATTAGGGAGCCGACCGTCCAGGGGCAATGGCAAACTACTGGACGTAAATTTGCCTAGTGAAACCACACAACAGCCAGGGGCTGATGGGGTTGGTTCTGCAACGTCCTGTAAAGGATACGCTACTAACATTAACATTACATTGGTGGGTGGGAAAAGGTGGTGGTTGAGGTGGGAGGAGGGGGGGGGGGTATTTAGTCAAGAACATACCAGCGATGGTAGGTACACACTCTTTTTCTTCCGCATTTCGGACCCTTGAAGTTCATTGCTGCAGATGTCACCCGCCTTTATTTATCTCTCTGGTTGGCCTTTTCTTTCCAGTTTGTCGCAGCAAGTGTTTGAGGGTCTGGCTGGATATTATCTCTTCCATCGTTTTATTGGTCTGCCTCGTGGTTTACAACCATTCCACTCCTTGTTTATTTATACATACACACACATGTGTGTGTATGTGTCGTCCTACATTATCTAAAAATGCCCCAGCCATTTGAGTCCATTAGTTCTTATGATGCCGGTAATTAGTGGTGATTTAAACAGATTATGAACGTCATTCTAGTTTCTTATTTTCCATTCCCCGCTGTCTTCATTTTTGATCGGTGCAACGATTCGCTGCAAGACTCTTGTTTCCAACAATTTATGATAAGGCTTTATATCTTTAAGCTGTGCTCCAAATAGCGGAGCCATATAAAACAATATCGTCCTTTTATAAGATCTTAGTGTACCAGACAGAGTCCTTGATTTTAGCAGATGTTGTAGGGCCTATCTGTGAATGATATATTAAAGGTTAGGTTATTTGCGTAGTCTTTACAGGACGTTGCAGAACCAACCCCAATGGTTTTTCTAGACAATTACGTCCAGTAGTTTGCCATCCAATTCTGGACGGTCGGCTTTCTTGATACCACTGTCGAAACCAACTCAAGGCGCATGGCCCTCAGCTGGGATCGAACCCGCCATCCCTGTATTACGAAGCGTTCGCATCGACTTAGCCACAGAGGGAATGATATATTAACGGGGCGGAAAAAAGAGGGGAGGGCTTTTTGAGTATTGACAGCATCATTTGTTAGAACCAGTCTAATGCGACTTTATCGAAGGAAGTTTTCATCCGTTTCTGCTGTTGATCTCATGTACCCATGTTTTTGTTTTTGGATGTTGCTAGCTGTGCTCTACCACTGTATGCCATAGTCCGTATTGTGAAAAATCGATCACTGAAAATGCGATCAACATAGAGAGGTGGTCAATATTGGAGGTTCTGCTGTAGTTATCCTCAAAATTCATAAGCAACTAAGTAAAATAGTATATTTCATACTAATATAAAGCTAAATAATATCTTTACACCAGCTCTTTTTACAGTTAGTCGACATATTATCGTCATTGCACATCGAACCATTCAGTCCATATGACTCAGATCTCCTCCTCTGTAAATCCCTCCGCGTGTAGCGGCTAACGACACCCGTCCTGTGTTGGTTTCTTTTTCTTCTTTGGCATTGTGCATAGCGCTCCTGTCTAACCACACTCCTTCAGCATGTTGGCTGTTCTTCAGTCCTGTGATAGTTTAAAATTAGTCATCCTCTAGTTCTCGCAAACATCTCACTTCTTGTCGAGCATTCAGTATATCAGTGTGGTCAGTGGCACGTCAGCCCGCCACAGTAGCGTTACCTGCAAGCCTGTCAGCTTGCTTACTTTCTTGAATGCCTGTGTGTCCTTTTACAGTCTGGACCATTTGTGAAATGCGGACCAGAACCCCAGAACCCACAGCCCAGCGTCTAGCCGCTATACTTTCGCGGCTCTCAGCTTAAATGGGTGTCACCAAATTTCCTGTGATGTAAAAGTGATAGTTACCACATCATCCCCAGAGAATCCCTCTTGGTCTAACAGTATGGAGATACATGAAAGTACAACTTTTCCCGCCAGACCTATGCTGTTAGACCCATTGTTTCATAGACCAGGTGGCGCTCGATGTGTGATGTGGTCAGCGTCATGTCGACCACCTTTACTTCCATTGATTCTTTCTTTCACCCATTTAAGGCTTAGGTCGACCTAAGAGCCAAGTTAATTTTTGATATAATCTGGCTAGGTGCGGATTCGAACCAAGGACCTTCAATTCGAAGTGAGCCTCTAGCCGCTGTACGATCGCGGTTTCCAATGTGTAGCTAACAGTCTAATGCGTCTTATAGCGTGACAAATGTCCTTTACTTAATGGCTTTTGAGGAGTACATGTCAGTGGAAGAGGATTGAGACCATTTATCTCAACAATAACCAGTCACTAAATACGTCAATGCTATTACTGATTCGGAGTCGCCGTGACTGTTGGCGGCTAGACGCCAGCCTTTGGATCGGAAGGTCGTAGGTTCGCGTCCTGACAGGGTCGGAATTTTGGTCAGAAATGACCTTGACTCTCAGGCGCGGAAAATGGACCTTTACTATATATTACTAAATATTGATTATTTGCCTAGTTCTCTCGCCCATTGTAAATGGTTGTGAAGGACCGTTGGAGCATCGGTCATTTTGTGTATTTGGCTATTTGGACATCTTTTTTTTTAGACCAATCGGTACTAATGAGTGTTGTCAAACCCACCCGGCCAACTTTACTTCCCGTATTTTAAGGTGAATCGATATGTGAGCCAATGCCTCGCCATAGTTGTCTTTCTTTCTTTCTTTCTTTCTTTCTTTCTTTCTTTCTTTCTTTCTTTCTTTCTTTCTTTCTTTCTTTCTTTCTTTCTTTCTTTCTTTCTTTCTTTCTTTCTTTCTTTCTTTCTTTCTTTCTTTCTTTCTTTCTTTCTTTCTTTCTTTCTTTCTTTCTTTCTTTCTTTCTGTCTGTCTGTCTGTCTGTCTGTCTGTCTGTCTGTCTGTCTGTCTGTCTGTCTGTCTGTCTGTCTGTCTGTCTGTCTGTCTGTCTGTCTGTCTGTCTGTCTGTCTGTCTGTCTGTCTGTCTGTCTGTCTGTCTGTCTGTCTGTCTGTCTGTCTGTCTGTCTGTCTGTCTGTCTGTCTGTCTGTCTGTCTGTCTGTCTGTCTGTCTGTCTGTCTGTCTGTCTTTCTTTCTTTCTCATTATTCCTTTTCTCTTTTCTTCAAAGCCTATGATAGGGATAAGTCTTTCTTTCTTCCTTTTTTTCTCATTGTATCTTTTCTTTCATAATATCTTTTCTTTCATAATATCTTTTCTTTCATTCCGTTATTTATCTTTTATTTATGTATCTGTTCTACGCTCTTTGAAGCCTATGATAAGGATAAGCAAACGTTCCATCTCTCTCATTCAGTTACATAAGAAACAATTCTGACCTTGCTATAGGCGATGATGAGTATCACACTAGGCAGGACAAAACAGAGACTAAAGCCCACAGTGACGAACAGGAGCACGTGCTGGCGATCCTCGTGCCACTCGATGGCACAGACAGCCTCCCAGTAGTCAAACCGAATCCAGTGGTACAAGATGGGCACAAGACCGAAACACAAACCCAAACACCAGGCGTATCCCAACAGCACGTAGATCCTCAGTTTGGTTACTCGGGCGTGATAGTGCAAGGCATGTCTGACCGCTATGTAGCGATCTAGGGACACACAGCACAGTGTGAACATGGAGACAATGATCAGAGTATAGTTAATCCCACAGACGATATCACACCAAGCCGGGCCCATGAGCCACTGGTCGGAAACCAGGGCGTGTAATGAGCTAATCATGACCACTGCAGCACTGATCATATCTGCCACGCTTAGGTTGACGATGAATATACTTGAGTTCTCTTCTCTCAGCCGATGGTGAAGATAGACGCAGGCAAGAACGAGCATGTTTCCAACTATGGACGCCAGAATAATAATTATTAGAAGAATTGACCATAAGGCTCTCTCCACAACAGACCTAGTCTCTTCCTCTGCGACGGTAGCAGATTTCGTGCCTACAGTGCTACATGTTTCATCGGTTGTGTTACTCAACGAAAACAGCGAGGATGTTGTATAATCGATGTAATGTTCTTGGTCAATCATCACTGATACTGGTTTAAAAAAAAATATACATGCACTTTTACTAAACCATTAAGGGCACGCTGGTATTAACAGTAGCGCGAACACACATTACCATCAAATACATAAGATGGGTTCACTGTTGTTCCAAGTATTTCTTCCGTTTATTGCCATGAAATGTTTACCTCCAATGTAATCATACTAGCAATTAACAGAAGTACACGTTGTCGCGAAGAACACTCAGTATGTCTGAGAATTTTGTTTCGCCGTCTTGGTTTAAGTTATTAGTGGCATTCGTTGTAAACTGGCGAGTTTCAGCTTTTATCCTCTCCTTTGTTTAAGAATGGGTGGCGGCGGTTGCCTGTCGCCTCAGACAAACAGGTAGTGTATCTAAGGGAATAAATAAGCTAAATATTTTACTGCCGAGGCCAGTGGGGGCTGTAGATAAACTTTCAGAAATACCATTATCCATCCGTGACTTAGCTTTTTTTTTTTCATTGTCCCCGCTAGTGGTTACTTTTAATTCACTCATAGTGTGAAAGTGTGGGTAATCTACTGTAACTATAGTTAGTATCATAGTGAGTTCGCATGAAATGTATTATAGAGGTCAAAGTCTAGTCATTTGAATACTTTTACTTGGCTCTGTATGTGGACAAATGGAAATCCGTGAAGCTACAGCCTCTGTTTATCAAGTGGGCGTATAGAGCGATAAAATAGCCAACGGGGATGACCAAAGCATCGTGAAATAGAATGCCTGTAGCTTGGTTCGCACCCGCGTGGATTTTGAGGGGTGGGATGGAGGTGGGGGTGGAGAGGGAGGTATCAGGTAAACATGCAGGCTGTAAAGACAGAACCTATAGAATACATATAGCCAGCATATTTCTTCGTGTTATTACAGTTTGTGACACCTACAGATCCTGCCAACGTTGTGTGTATGGTTATAGAATTGACACCAACACTGTAAATTGGATGAGTACTACACTACATACCTCACAGGAAAACACGGTAGTCGCTATATAAGTGAGAATACAAGTTGCTGTTTAATTTACCTAGTTGTTACCGCACTGACTGCATTGTGTTTTATAAAACATACTAATCAAATTCCTGGCTCACACAGCAATGTTTTAACAAGTAAAAGCACAATCTATCACTTCATGTTGGCTATAGTTAGCAGCGTTAAAAAAAATCCACCCAACAGAAACATCTACATGGCGGAAACATTGAAACAAAAACAAATGTTCCAGTCCACACACAAGATTGCTGCGTGGCGCACCGTGTCGCAGACTAAAACTGTTGACAAACAAAGCAGACTTTTGTTCCCCAGCAGACTCTTGAAAGGACATTTTTCCTGTGAACATTTGCTCAGTTTATGGGAGTTTAGATGGGAGCTCGATGAATCGGCATAATAATTAAATTAATCAGCATTTAAAGTCTCCCTTGATTAAATGCCTGCGGTTGAAGCAGTGATGTGAGTAAAGTAATAATTCATTGTGCGGAGAACGTTGTGGTGGGGTTCTTATAACAAGTAAGGCTGTTATTCCTACCCCCCCCCCCTCTCTCGCCTCTTCTAGTTGATCTACTGTGCAGTGTTCCAACACATTTTACCATGAATTGCCACATACACAAAATGGCAGTACTCCTGATTAACGCGAAACCTACTGTTTGCTATAACAGTAGTGCCTTTAATTGGGTCGATATTCTATTAACATTCGATTACCGGCGAGTTCGCGGCCTTATCTCCTGTTTTAGTTTCCTGTTCCTGTGTTCACTGTCGCCAGGGGTCATTTCAACGAATCCCAAACTGCTATCTGGGAAATGATCTCGTAATTGTGGATATGGTAGTTATAGTAGATTTAATATAAACGACGCAGGAAGAAAAAAACAGAGGAGATGCTGGTCAACGGGTAGTCGTGTCATGAAGACATATCTGTATCTAGACTGATTGAAAACTCGCGTGACAGAAGTACATTAACTGACGGCGCCTTGAGGCCAATTGGATCTAGTGTTAGCTTCACATTTTTATGGACCAATCTGCACACGTTGGATGGTGTGGTCAGTTTCACTCCGATCGTCTTCATTACAAGTACAGGTTCGTATTCCTGCGTGGGGGGGGGGGGGGGGGGGGGGGGCGGGGAAGAAAGCTTAGATCATCAAAAAAACCTCCTCCGCTCAAAAGCGCTTTTAAATACACGATCTCCGAATATTTCTGGCCTTATAACCTCTTTTCCTCTTAATCCGTCTTCTTCTTCCTCCTTCCTCCTTTCTCTTCTTCTTCTTCTTCCTTCCTTTCTTCCTTTTTTCTTTGCTCTTCTTCCTTTTTTCCTTTCTCTTCTTCTTCTCCTTCCTTCCTTTCTTCCTTTTTTCTTTGCTCTTCTTCTTTTCCTTTCTCTTCTTCTTCGTCTTCTTCTTTTTCTTTCTTTCTTTCTTTCTTTCTTTCTTTCTTTCTTTCTTTCTTTCTTTCTTTCTTTCTTTCTTTCTTTCTTTCTTTCTTTCTTTCTTTCTTTCTTTCTTTCTTTCTTTCTTTCTTTCTTTCTTTCTTTCTTTCTTTCTTTCTTTCTTTCTTTCTTTCTTTTTTCTTTCTTTCTTTTTTTCTTTCTTTCTTCTTTTTTTTCTTTCTTTTCTTTCTTCTTTCTTTCTTTCTTTCTTTCCTTTTCTTTCTTTCTTTCTTTCTTTCTTTCTTTCTTTCTTTCTTTCTTTCTTTCTTTCTTTCTTTCTTTTCTTCTTCTCCTTCTTTCCCTCCTCCTCCTTCTTCTTCATCTTTCCACCTTTCTCGTCTTCTTCTTTATCAGCCTTTAAAACAATTGTAATAGAAAAACCTATGCACTTTTACACCTCTGGAAATGACAAGGTTGTACAATATTTGGACATTGATAACAGGTACTCATAGCAAAAAGTACGGAATGTTTACAGAACCACCTAAATTAAATTAGTAACAAGGGGGAGGGATATAATATAAAAATAAACACTACGAAGACAGAGACAATGGTGATAGGAAGACAGAAAGACAATTTATAAATAAAACAAAGGAATTAAAGTATTTGGAAGCAATTTTCACGTCCAACAGAAAACTGGACAGAGAAATTAGCTCCAGATGTGCCAAAGCTAATCGACTAATAGGGCAACCATTTCCCCTGTTGACACACACGCAGATACCCCAGAGTACTTAAGTGAATCTTATCAGAAATGTTGGCCAACACTATGCTATCAGTGCCAAATGTGGATACTTACATCCTCCAATGAACGTAAAATTGTGACAACAAAGATGAAATGCCTTAGAAGAGCTAAAGGCGGTTCAAAGAAAGACAGAATACGAAATCACGAAATCAGACGAATAACAGGAATAAAGCCAGTCTTACAGGTCATCAAAGAACAATAAATGAAGTGGTTTGGACACCTAACAAGAATGCCCTAGTAATATTTGCCACAGCGAGCCACACTAAAACGTTACAACGGGTATTGAGGTAGTAGAAGTAAAAAAAAAAAAATAAAGGACCCTTTTCCACGCCTTTAAGCGTATAGGGCATATAGGGCTAAACCTATATTTTTATAGACCAATCAGCACAAGATGGGTGATGTGGTCAGCATCACGCCGGCCGCCTTTACTTTCCCGGGACTGCACCCGGTACCCACTCAAGGCTGGGTCGACCTGGGAGCCAAGGTCATTTTTGAAATAATTCCGGCTCCGCCAGGGAGCGAACCCATGACCTTCCGATCCGCGGCGAGCGTCTAGCCGCTCGGACACGGCGACTCCCAGGTAGTGGAAGGCCTAGGAAAATATGGAGGAATGACATTAAGAACAACCTTACAAAAATGAACATATGTCTTGACGGAGCTCATCAACGAATGTTACAAACCCCCCCCCCCCCTTTTTTTTTGCGACATTTCCATGAGGTATAAGGTGTAAGAGAAGAAGAAGACAAGCGTTTATAAGTCACCGTATATGCTATTTCGGTCAGTTGAAGTTTGAGGTACGTTGGCTGGTATACCAAAAATTAAGTAAACAAACAATCGATATTTCTTCCTCTAGTTAAGGATGGTTGACCGCCATGCATTCTTTCTCAGGCAGAGACCATACCAATAATCATGTTTGCTTGTCTCTGGTAAACTAAGTGGTTTGAAAAGGCTTTAATAGATCTCACGATTTGTTCTAACGAACATTCTTGCTAATTGAGGAAGACATGGGCAAGTTTAGTGATTACATTTCCACTCATGGGGAAATGTAACTAATGACGTGTAAACCAACTGATTGGAAACCAGTCCAGTTTAGCAGCCAGCTACAGTAAAAAGCTGGCCACTTAAACAATAATAATACGTGAACTGCGTGTCACATTCAGTGGTGCGAAACTGTACGATGTCCTAAAATTGTATATATATATATATATATATATATATATATATATATATATATATATATATATATATATATATATATATATATATATATATACTGCATATATATTGCATATATATATATATATATATATATATATATATATATATATATATATATATATATATATATATATATATATATATATATATATATGTGTGCGTGTGTGTGTGTGTGTGCGTGTGCGCGGGCGGGCGGGTGTGTTTGATAGCTACACTATTATACCTATAATTTAATAAAGCGGCACTTCGCTATGAGAAACGTGATTAGTGATTTCACACATACCTGTGCTGTGTTTGTATTCATTGTTCACAAAGTACTCTGTAATTTCTTATGTGATATATATCGAATCTGTTCCTGGAATTGTGTACCGATTGTCTCTGTAATTTCTAGTATAACATTTACAGAATATGTTCCTGAAATTGTGTTCGGATTGTCTCTGTAATTTCTAGTATAACATTTGGCGAATTTGTTCCAGAAATTGTGTACCGATTGTCTCTGTAATTTCTAGTATAACATTTACAGAAGTACCGATTGTCTTTGTAATTTCTAGTATAACATTTACAGAATCTGTTCCTGAAATTGTGTACCGATTGTCTCTGTAATTTCTAGTATAACATTTACAGAATCTGTT